CTGTTGTTAATGCATTTTTTAGTTGGAATGACTGATGTTAGCTGGCTCTGTGAAGAATTGTTTTTATTATTAATTTTTTAATGCAAAAAACGTATGTTCTTGATAATTGAGTTGTAGCCATGTTTGGAGCTTGCATTTTGTATTATATTATTCTGAATGTTTGTAATTGATATGTACGAAAATGTTATTGTCAATAGAGGTATTTTGCAATAACAAATAACAACAAATATGACTACATAAACTACCCCAACATATTATCACTACATATGGTGATTATTTTTTTTGTTGAACTGTCAAGTTAATTTTATACTTTTTACATCTTAAAACCGTTGAATCATGTTAAGATCTGCAGAAGACCCTGTATGGCAATATGGGGTTAGACTTGATCCCAACAAAAAAGACAAATTTATTTGTAATTACTGTCAACGAGTGATAAGTAGTGGGGTACATAGGTTCAAGCAACACTTGGCAGGGGTTAAGGGAGAAGTTTCTGCATGCACTAGTGTCCCTAGTAACGTAAAATAACAGATGGCGGCAATTCTTAATGCTAACAAAGGTAAAAAAATTGCCAAACATAGGATGAATGAGGAGATAGCTAGTTTATATACGCCATCAAGTAGGAATGATATATAAGAGCAATGTAATAATGACCTAGAAGAGCAATATAATAATAAGCTGGACATGGCTACAAGATTGAGTTTACATGAACAATATCAGAGGGAACATGGGTTTAGAATGCCCGGTGGGTCTAGCTCAAACATGCATGGTGGGCCTAGCTCAGACATGTATGGCGGGCCCAGCTTGAGCATGTATGGCAGGCCCAGCTCAAATATGTATGGAGGGGTTGGTGGCAATATGTATCAAAGAGAATCAGATGTTGAAAAAATTGTTTCTAGGTTACCTAGGAGTGCCAGTATTGCTGGTCATGGTCGTAAAGACCCATTTCTCCAAAGCCTAAGTCGCAACAGATGACCCTAAAAGGCATGGTTAACGGTACAAGAAACATGTTGGGGAGATATGTTGGTAAATGGTTCTACGATAAAGGGATTCCCTTTGATGCAGCTAATAGCCCATATTTTCCACCTATGGTTAGTGCAATCTAGAGAATCGGGCCCGAGGTAAGACCCCCGACGGCATATGAGCTCAGTGGACCAATATTAGATGAAGAGGTGGAGGAAGTTAAAAAGTGGATTGAAGAATATAAACAGAGTTGGCCAAGGACAAGCATTACTCTCATGAGTGATGGTTGGTTGAATAAAGTTAGCAAAAAGGAGTTTTTAAAGTTCTTAGCCTATTCCCCAAAAGGTACAGCTTTTTTGTCGAGCAAAGACGTATCAGGGACGAAAAAGGATGCAAACTTCTACGTACGACTATATGATCAGATAGTGGATGAGGTGGGAGATAAGCATGTAGTCCAGTTTATTACGGACAATGCTCGTGCATGTGTTTCTGCGGGCAGCAAGTTGATAGATAAGAAGAAGCATCTAGTATGGACCCCGTGTGCTGCACACAGCATCGATCTTATGTTAGAGGAGATCAGTGAGATCAAAATTGTGAAGTAGACTTTAGAGGAAGCAAGGTTGTGTCGAGATTTATATACAACCACTCTAAAATTTTATTTCTATGTAGATAACACTCTAAGAAAAAAGAGATAATCAGGCCTGCCATAACTTGCTTTGCGACCGATTACTTAGTTGTGGACTCCATTCGAAAATCTGAAGGTGCATTAAAGAGATTGTTTATCTGTGAATAGTGGTTAAATGACCGCATCTCGAAGTCTAGTACCGGTATAAAAGTGAACAACATAGTTTCAAATAGGCGGTTTTGGTCTCGATGTTCCAGTGTTGTAGAGGCCACTACCCCTTTCGTCACGGCGTTAAGAATGATGGATGCTGACAAGAAAGCTACCATGGGTATCTTTTATGAAGGTATTGAGAGGGCGAAATCACCTATTCGGGAGAAGTGTAATTTTGCTAGCAAAGTGATTGAGATTATAGAAAGGAGGTGCAACACCAAATTTGGACGTCCAATCATTATGCTGGTAAATATATATTTATATCATTACAATGTTTCATTTTAAATAATTTTTTTATGAAATTGTAAATGAAAATTTTCTACCTATATATTTTGTAGGTTACTACTTCAACCCAAAATTTTTCTATTTGACACCTGAACATCCCACAAGATTATGGAAGGAGTCAGATACATTATTGCAAGGTTGAAGAGAAGCCATCGAAACCAAGTAGCAGCAATACAAGAGGTATTATTTAATGTTTAGGTAAGAACTTCATTGAGTTATTATATTTGTGAGGAATAATGCACTAAAACGTAATATATTTGTTTTAACTTGCTATGTATAGGGATGCTATAGGATACTTCGGAACTAGACTTGCCAGGAATTCTTGAACTATGATGGATCCAGGTTATCCTTTCGCTAATATTTTGTTCATTCATATATTTAATCTTATGAATTGTTCTTGCCCTTACAATGCTTTTTGCATTTTAATCCAGCTGAATGGTGGGAGATATATGGTACTGATGCACTTCACCTAAAGAGGATAGCAATCAAGGTGTTCTCCCAAACATGTTCTGCTACTGGCTATGAGCGCAACTGGAGTACGTTCCAATGGTTGCACACTATTAGGAGGAATCGACTCGCTTCTGAGAAGCTTCATAAACTAGTCTACGTTCATTATAATTTAAACCTCTGAGAGCGACAAATAAGAAGAAAGCTTAAAGACTATGGGCCGATAGACTTAAACACAATATTTGTCACAGACACAGCAGACCAATGGGTAGTAGAAGAGAAGGAGCCAGTGTTGCACAAGAGAGCATTCATTGAGGCTATCGGTGATGAAGATCTTGAAGAAAGTGATAAGCAGCATGAAAGAGGAAGCAGCCAGCCAACGTATCCACAATTCGTCGGAGATGTCGGTGATATTGCACCTAATGAGGGAGAGTGGGAAGGGGGTCTAAGAGAAAATGAGAGAGATGATGATTCTGAGGCCACCCTATCCCAGCCATATTATTTACATATCTAGTCCCAACAGCAACAGTGTAGGGATGAGCACGACAGTGCAGGTGAGCATGAAGGATGGACAAGCTTTGGGGATTTTGGATTGAGAACACAACAAAACACTAACACTCAGGGATTTGGAAATAGTCAGACGCCTGCTAATATCGATGATTCGTTTTTAGGTCGAATCAATGAATTGTCAAACGAATTCAATCAATGATACCAGCGTGACTAAGAAGAACAACAACGTCGTCTATCATTTTATTTTTAGATTGTATGTTACTAATTTTATGCTTTATTATAGTCCATGTATGTTGATATACTTATTTCATGATAATTTTATGTTTATCCTTTTGTGTGATGTAAATTAAATGCTGAATAGTAGTTCATGCAGGGAAAGAACATATCAATATTCGCATATTCATGCAAAAACATGAAAATTCTTAATGGAGTGCCCTCATTTCTTATTGAATTCCTAAAAAACAATATTTATAATGAATTTTAATATTTTTTTCGGATTTTTTTGAAGCTTTATTCTGACCGATTCACCTGATTCTGGATCCGGATCGTCGATTCATCGATCCAGATCGGTTTTTTGGGTGCCCGATCCGGGTCACCGATCCGCCTTTTAAACTATTGCATAAAAGTAAAGGAAAATGGCATAAAACCGTTCAAATTAGACTTTCTAATCAATTTACCGCGACTTCACTTTTTCTAGTAACTTTCCCTTAAAAACTATCTTTCTTACCAAATACAGAAAAAATTATCTTTCCGAACAAGTACCCCAATACAAAAAGTTCTTTTTTTTTTGTGGAAAATACCTTTTTTTTACATAATAAATTATTTTCACTGGATAGGGCAGTCTGGCGTTTGGAAGAGGCGATCCGATGATTATTTTGTTGGAATGGAAGGTAAAGTTCATTTTTTTTGACGAAATTACCTTCTTCTTACATAACAAATTATTTTTACCAGAGAGGGCAGTCTGGCGTTTGGAAGAGGCTGTCTGATGATTATTTGGTTGGAATAGGCGGTCCGGCATTTCATGACTATTTGGTTGGAATGGGCAGTCCGGCGTTTCATGACAATCTGGGGATTATGCTATTGGAGAAATGGGCAGTCCGATGTTTTGAAAAAGCAGTCTGACATTTTGAAGGGTAGTCCGGCGTTTTGAAGTGGCCGTGCATAATTTTAAAATGGCAGGTCGGCTTTTTTTTGCTAAGAATATTAGGTGGGGTAAATTGATTAGAAAATCCGTTTTCATGCAATTTTCCCTAAAGGTAAAGTAGAAAGAGGATATCAAGATAGGGTGTCTTCTCTCTGTGTAAGAGGAAAACTAGAAGAGAAGGTTGAAGAAAAGGTCACAATGTCGAAGGAAATTGGTGATTTTTTGGGTGGTGGAGTGAGGGAAGGCATTACCAAAGCTGAAGATTTAGTGAGAGAAGGGAAGGAAAGAGCGAATTTAGTGTCCTATGCAATGAGAGAAAGCATGCCGAAAACTGAAGATTTAGTGAAAGAAGGGCTGGCAAGGGGGAATTTAGTGGCCTCTACAGTGAGAGAAAGCATGCCCAAAGCTGAAGATTTAGTGAAAGAAGGGATGGCAAGGGCGAATTTAGTGGCCTCTGCAGTGAGAGAACGCATGGCTATTGCTGAGGAGAAAGTAGCAGATTTAGTGAGAAAAGGCAAGGTTAAGAGCCAATTGCTGGCTGATCAAGGTGAAAAATGAAATTTTTTTATTTAATTTGAATGGGTTCATCAGTTAATTCTTCTGTCTTTTTTAGAGGGGTAGAAATATACTTAACACTGCATAGTTTATGGATTGATACTTTCAAAAAAAATAAAAATATAGTTACCCATTTGCATACAGATAAATTTTGAAAAAGATCGGCAAAAATTCATCAGAGAAGGTTGTCAAAAGAATCAAGATACTAAACACTAAGGCAAGTTAAATGATCTAAACGAAAAGAAAAAGTTCATTGCAGATGAAATTTGTAATTTGTTTTACATTTTTAAATAGATTGATTGAAATATCGTTAAAATAATGTATTGTTAGAGGATATTTAAATTTTATTTTGTTTAACTTCTGACATAGAATTTCCCGTGGATCTCTCTTCTTCTTTTCGGGACTTCGGGCTTTGCCAGGAGCTTTCCGGGGTTGGGTGTCCAACATGGGGATATTAAAAAAATTCAAAAAAAATTAAAAAAATATTAAAAAGTAAGAAATTTATTTAGGATAAATTTTTTATATGTATTTTCTATCATTTTGACAAAGATTGAAATGTGTTTTGGATATAAATACTTATTTTTATATTTTCTATTTTTTTTGAATTAGTTCTAAAATACCCCCAGTCACAAGATTTCTAAAAGCTATATTTTTATTACTTTACTTTTTTTTAACATCATGTTGAAGTGTCTTGCTTAATCCTACTTTAAAAATACATTTCTATTTTTTGGAATTTTTATATTTTTATAATGTTGACCTTTTGTTTTGCTGGTATAGTACTCAACACTAATTAGGTCATGTCACTTTGACTCGGCCAGAGTAATTGGCTTGGCCAAGACTGATTACACAATTCAAGTCGCACTTTCTATCTCTGATCCAACCCAAAGAAAAGTGATTTTTTTTCTTCTTCTGTTTTTTTTGGCTAAATGGTTTGAAGCCAATTTTTGCCTTAAAAATATTTCTTGCCTTGTTAAAAAAAAAATTTATTACAAAATAAGGGGTAGTGAGTATAAAAAATGTTGAGTATAATAATGGAATACCCATATGTATTGATACCCTACCATAACCCTTTTTTAAAATTATATATTTTCATCTTTTCTATTTCGGAGTTTTCATCATATTCTAATATAAAGGAACAAACCTATATAAAACCTTACATGTCGAACTAAAGGTGGACCAACCTCGACAATTCATTTCATTGAAGGTTGTTCTACAAGGCTGCCATCTTATGAAAATCGCACCCTACGAAAACTGGTTAATCATAATTTGTTATTCTATAATTTGTTTCATGAGAGTAGTTCTACTTCTTTGAGTATGATTCAGGAGAGTAGTTTTAGTTATTTTAATATTCACCAAACAGGTTTTCCACCTTCCATTTTCGGTATAAAAGGTGGAGATCAATTGTTCCTCTATTTGAGTAAGCGACACTAATGAATAGTTCATCTCCACCATCTAATACTGAGATTGATGGTTCGATGATACATATCAACAAATCCCATTATGAATGGAGATGTTGGAAATGAATTGTTCGTCTATTTGAGTAAGCAACACTAAGAAAAAGTCCATCACCATCAACTATTTTGATATGTGATAGCTGTCGAGCAACATCATTATTAGAAGGGTATGGTTTCTATAAGGTTGCATTTGTAATTCTACATTTTAAGGTTGCAACGTTATATAAACTTTTCTTTACTAAAACAAAAAAGTTTATATAGAGCTGAGGCCCTAAACAATCACATTCGAACGTACCTAAAAAATTTTACTAGACGAGATTGTTTTGATGCTAAAAAAACCTCAAATTCATCATCTCGACATCAAGATGCATAAATATGAGAAAAAAAATGATTTTAAGTTTTGGAAATAGTGTATTTTGTAATGCATTTTTTGACCGTCAATTTTCAAGATTTTCAAGATTTCATAGATCTGTCGATCTACACTGTTTTTAAAGCTCTAAACTTTATAAATAAAGATAAAACCATATTTTAAGGCTATCTCAAAAATTTTCAATGTTGAAACCACATTTCTCGACACTATCTAAAAATAGGCGCTAATTTGATTGTTTAGAACCCTGGCTCTATACAAACCGCACCCTTATTAGAATGGCCACTATATTATGCATAACTTTTTTCAAATAGGAAAAGTATACAATAAGACTATCTATTCTCTAAAAAGGTTACAATCACCACAAGCTAGAGGTGGGGTCGGGTTGGATTGGGCCGAGGTCCATGTCTCAGACCCAGACCAAAAAAAAAAATTATGGGATGCGAATCCAAACTTGAAGTTATCTGAATTAGATCGACCATACCCAGATTTGGCCGGACCCGATTGGACCCATAAAAAAAATATATGTAAATATATTTAAATACTTTGACTAAAATATATAGCTATATTTATTTATATATTATTATTTAAATATTATATATTAAATATTATTTAAATATGAACATTATTTGGGTCGGGTCTACACGGACCGGGACCCGGACAGGAATATTGTTTGGGTCCAATTTTGGACCCATACCGGACCCGGGTCAAGTTCAGTCGTCAAATCCTAAGTCGTGTGTGGGTTCGGGTTAATTGCCACCCCTACCACTAGGTATTAAATGAGAAGTAAGAGAGCCACCCCTCACTAACAAGAAGAGACTAAGCAGAAATGGGAGGTGTAATATTGGATGTACTAAAAAATCCAAACCAATGTTTCTCGACCAAACCGAGGAAACTCGGACTTGGCCGAGTTACACGATCTTGGCCTATGGGCAAGGTCAAGTACTATGTACCAATTCTTTATATATATTATGTATCCGATTCATTCAGTGCCTAATTGACTTGTTGGCTATTATGTATGCCAATCTTCATTTAATGTCTAAGTGACTTGTTGGCTATTATGTACACCAATCGTCCCAGATATGATCTCCTTTCTTATAAAAAAAAGTAGACCTTTTTTATTTTATTAAAAATAAAAAATAAACCCTATCGTATTTTATTAAAAAATGCATACTTTTTTTTAATTAAAAAACTATTTGATACCTCAACCCCGGGTTGAGGCCCTACTTGACTACTCATTACAAGTATAGGTATCTTAACATATATAAAACTTATTTACATTTGTTATTCCCCTTTTTTTTAACCATGAGATTAACTCCATCAAGTACTCGCCTCGGACAAGGTCCGAGTACTTTGGCCAAGTCGATTATCTGAACTCTTGTCCAAACCATAGTTATCGGTAGCTGGAGAGGGATTGGCTCCGGAGACGGGAACATGAACATCGGATTTTTAGCTTCCCAAAGCTCCAGCTCTAAGGAGTGAGTTTCAGTGAGGGTGAAAGTAGCGGAACGAGATCTCATATGAAGGTGGAGCACGTTCCCAACACAAAGGGATCTAGATCCTTACTTAATGTGGACACGATCCCTATAGAATGGGATCGTGTTCCCATATGCAATAGGATCACACTCCAATTCAGAATAGGAACGAGATCCCATTTGAAGTTGAATTGTGTTCCTATTTGAAAGGATCAAACTTCATTGAAGGGCAGATCGTGTTCTATGCATTATTGGTCTGTGCTCCCATTATTGAGCTCCACTTATATCAAGAACCCAACCCCATTACGCATAGATTCATGTTCCCACTAAGCACTGGAACCATTCCCACATAAACATGATCTCATTCTGGTTTATTCTAAAACTCATTGGTCACTGCTAGATAAGGATGAAGTTCCGTGTACACACATGATCACGATCCCAAATTTCGGAGTTCAAGGATGTCATTCAGGAATGAGATCTAAAATCTTTACAACGTGCACTGTGGTATGCGAGGGTCGAGATCCTTTTGTTCATCAGAATGAGATCGTGAAATAAAAAAATCATTTTTTGAGCAAGATCTCAGTTATGAAACACCGGTTCTGGTTCTAGAGCCGGAGTGCCACCCTGTTGGGGCACTCCAACTATGTTCCAAAAATCCCAGCATTTAATTCACATCAGATAGCTATTGGTGATTGTGATATTTTTTATATCAAACATGAACACTTCGTGATTTCTTTATCACCCATTGTTGGTCGATATTTACTACTACAAGCTATGACCCCCACTGCTGTAACTGATACTTCAATGGAATCTAAACCCTTGCTTTATGTGTATATTAATAGTATCGGAAACATGCATTATGGTATAAACGAATTGTATACTAGATTTCATGTTTCTTGATTTCATGACCAAGTTTTATTATCATTTTGTTAGGGCCTTGGCAGTGACATTGGGATTAGACAAAGTAGATAGAGACACAGTATCGAAGATAGCCGTTTGGCATTTGTTGTAGCCTGTTTGGCATTTGCTGTATATTTGGTGCCCCAGCTGATGATGAGAGCTTTGTCTGGTGCTGCATATTGTGTGCTCAAGTTTGCTGCATATTGTGTGCTCAAGTTGACGAAGATAGTTGTTTGTAGAGGCCGGGCTGCTGCATATTGTGTGCTCAAGGTGACGAAGATAGTTTTTTACGGAGGTTGGGTTGTTGCATATTGTGTGCTCAAGGTGACGAAGATAGTTTTTTGCGGAGGCCGGGCTGCTGTACGTGGGGTGCTCAAGGTGATGAAAGCTTTCTGTGGAGGCATGGGCAAGGGTAGTGGAAAGACTATGAAAGCTCCAGGGAGGCCTTATCGCATTCCTTGAAGCACATTTCAGAGTAATCCCAAAGGCTATTTTTACCAATTACGCAGTGATGGATTATGATATGAACTAGCAAATTCCAAGTGTGTGGTGAAATGTATCCCACAGTTTTGGGCTGCTGGTGGTCTTTCTTTGTGTCTGTTTTTCGTTTTGAGTGCTTTCACATAGAGTGTCTTTCTTTTATTGAACGGTGCACAAGTGTTGTTTTCTACAACAAAAATTATTTCCATGACTTGGAAGTCAAGAATTTATTTCTATTCTTAACATAATGTTTTATGGCTCACACTAAGTTTTTAGTCTTCCATTTTGAGTCTAGTTTCTAATGAAATTTATTTGAGAGAGAAATATCTATGGGAAGAGAAGAACAAAAATTTTGGTTTGAAGAGAGGTTGTCCTGAATTTTCTGCAATTATGGTATGCTCTTCATTGATTCTTAAATAGCTATAATTATCAAGCGTACCTAACAGAGTGATATGAGGCTTGTGAAAATATATGTGCTACCATTATGTGTCTACTTTAAAAAAAAAATTGTTTGAAATGAAAACTCTACAAGGGTAGAAAGAAAATACAATTTTACTAGATAGTGTTCATCCTAGAATTCTGCAGAAAGAGTTATTTTGTTATGTGTATGTCACCTTATTTATTTCTTTCAAGGAAATTATTATTTGGGACACACACAATGATGTTATGATTTGGTTTTGAGTCTAGTTTTCAACACAAGATATTTCAAGAAGAAATTCTTTGAGGTTTGAGAGAAACAATTTTTGACTCAATGGTGTGGACAAGTTCTAATAGTTCTGCAGCTAGAACCTCATCCAGGGCTTTTCTTTGTTTCATCTCCCTCTCGAGTTCGCCAAAGTCGCTCTTCAGTCTCCACATCTCGTCCTTTAAGACCTTTATCTTGTCAAAACGAGCCTTGGCTTCCTGCTTATGATCGGATTGCTGGGTGGCCACGACAACTTTTCTGTGTGCACAAGAGTCTACCTTCTCATGACGGCGTGCCAGTGACGCCTCTAAAGAAACCAGTTCATTTTCTTCTGCCTCCTGCTGCAATCCCCTTGTCATCCAGCCCTCTATTTCATTCATAAGGCGGTCGAAGTTGTCAAGGACTTCCAAATCGCTCTCAACAGTGCGCAATGCAAGGGCATACTTTCGGAGTTTGGCAATTGTTGGGCAAAGCTCCACGAGAGATCTCCCACTTAAACGATGGAGTCCCAAGCACAGCATATCCGCGGCCACGCTCGAATCTTCACTACTTCGAGCCACAATCAAGGATGAAACAAGAACCGATGCTACCTCAGCTGAGGGAGTTACCGTTGAAGCGGCCGTGACCAGATTCACTTCAGCATGAGGAGTCACGCCGGAGGGAATAATGGCCATGTCTATAGCCACCTCTAGAGGACCCGCACCACTAAAGTCTTCAGCAGTCTCCCCTCGAATAGTGTCTCGGCCCTCATTCCCTTCACCCTCAGTTATTTCTCTTAGGGCTGCTATGCCCGAATGCTCGCCAAGGTTGGCTTCTTATCTCCCTTTAGTGCTTAGGCCTTCGTTGCCTGTAACTTATGCGGCCTCAGGAGCAACCGCCTCATGTTGCTCCGGAATCTCGTCAGCATTAGGCCCTCCTCCCACAGAAGTACTCAGACCTGCATCGCCCTCACCCTCAACGATCCCTACATGCTGTTCACTGAGGATGAACTCTTTTCCCTCGACCACACTTGGGTCTTTGTCACCCACAATACCCGGGGCAGCTCCCTCATGTTGCTCGAGTCCTTTATCAGTTTCATGCATGTCTCTCTGACCTTGAAGGGGCATGGGTCCAAACTCCTTGAGGCATGGGTCCGAACTCATCCTGTTTTGAGAAGATGGAGCCAGAGTTGACTCATGCATAGGATCGTTATCGCAGGGCCCACCTCTTGAACTCGTGACACCATCTTGGGGTCGGAGGTTGTCTCCTGATCCGAAGAAATCTTGATAGTGTCAGTGGTGCTGACACGATCTTGAGACTCCGAGGTATTAGGAGAGGGAGTAGTAACCGTTGGATCAAGTACCATAAGTGGCTTAGCGCTCTTGCATCTCTGAGAAGGCGCAGCAATAGACTTAGAAGCACTCCAGACACAGGACGCTTCCTCTTCTTCTTCCCTTCCTGAGGTGGTTCAGGCTTCCCTGAGGTCTCACCACATGAAGAGCTTGCGGCGGGGGCACTCTGGGGACCACTCCCTATAAAAACATTTAGATCCTAGACCAGATGCCCCTCGTAACCAAGAACCCTACGACCTTCGTCCCATTAAAAAATGGAACAAAGATTGTCAAGAATGGGCCCTGACCCTTCCTTCAGTGCGAGCATTTGCAGCAACTCTACATCCGCTACCATCTCCTGGGGAACCCTAAGGTGTTTCCAGTTGCAAGGGTATTCTAACTCAAGGACTCGACCAAAGTCCTTTCCCTGCTTGGTCTCGTGGCGCCAGTTGTTGTTGATCCCCTTCCAAGGGTGTTCAACTTCCCAATATCCGTCACGGTTGATGATTCTCCACCAATGTGCATACATCGCAGTTGTTGAGCCTACCCGAAATGAGGCACGACGAACTTGTTTTCCTTTGTGAAATCCAAGCAAGTCTCTCAAGCAGTACGAACATGGACTACTTTCCATGATTTGAGGAAGGTCCCCAACTCCCTCCTCTTCCTCGAGGCTACCTTCCCGTAACGTTTCTCTAACAGGATGGGAATATGACACTCCTGGTCGAGCTCGTGCTGACAAGCGAAGTGGTGGGGGTAATACCCTTCAAGTTTTGCTCTGTAAGGGGTTCGATAGGCCAAGATTCCTCTTCTTACACTTAGAAGGAACATGAGCTCTCGCAAACTTGTGCGAGCACCATTCAGCTCATGGCCCAACGAATCCATGAAACTTGATCTGTAAAATTCCCCACGGGAAAGGGGACTTGCTGCATATGGGTATTCTCGTTTCTAAATAAGCCTCTCGCGTGCCCGGGGGAATGAAAAATAACCCTTTGCCCTGCAATCTTCACTAGCTGAGGGCACATCTGCTCCTCCAAAGTCATATTCTTAGTATAAGTAATCGGAAAGTAGGTTGAAAGCCACCCGAACACATAATGGGTAGGGAAGGGCGTCCTGAAGTCCCCAGGAAAAGCCTTGCCCCTTACTAACCCGAGGCCGCCTCCTTTTCCCTTGTAAGATTTACCCCTGGACACGGCTCCTAACCCATGGTAAATACTGCACAAGACTGGTTGTGTAAGGGCATACTACTACCCATTCACCATGTCGCAGGAAACATAGAAGGTGCTTGGACAAATTATGTCCCCGGGAAAGACAAATTTGCATAGAAACAGGGCCAAGTACACAGCCAAAAAAACACCATCATCTGCAGACTGGCATTTGTAAGATGGGGGAATCACCTCCCACCTAGCCTTTTTCTTCCTCCCTGAAGGACCGTGATCTGACCCAGCCTCATAAGGGTATTATCCATGAAAGAACCACACCCAGTTAGTGAAGGTCACATGATCAGACAGAATGACGAGGAGTTGGTAGATCTCAAACAACTCCTTAAGGCCTACAGGACCACCAAGCGACTCCCCGCCAAAGATGATCGAGTTCTGAGGCACAAAGTCATCATACATCGCCCTCGTTAACGACAGACCACCAATAAAGTGAAGGTCCAGCAGAGAGATCCCTTCCTCGCCATGACCAAAAAGCCATGTATTGTTAACATGACTCCATGTCTCCAACAGTGCCTTGATGGTGTTGGAGCACCGGTCAAAATACCCTTATGAACATTGGATTGCTTCAGCCAGGGCAACATATTTGAGTAAGATGGCATAAAGTTGAAACACATTGAGTGTCCAGGAAGTATACCCTTTCAGAAACTGATGCTCCCCCTGCACTTGGAACCCAGTAGGGGACCATACCAGCCCCTCTGTCTTAATCATCCTCTTCCCAAGAGTAAGAAGGTTTTCACTTGAGACCACTTCCTGATGAAGACAATGGAGCAGGCCAACCCCACCTCTTCGTCCAAAACATTTCCATCATCATCTTCACAAACTTTGAAACGTACCGATTCACTAATAAAGGTGATGCTTAGAGGCCAGTGTGGCTTGCAAGCAGGCTCTTTTAGGCAGTTCGGGTTTCCCCAGACTAAACTCTCACCAATGAAATCACTGGTCTCCAACTCCCCAGCTTTGGGAAGATTTTTAACTTCTGGAATGGGGGCAGGGCCCTCATCACCCGAGTGCTTGACCATTGTCCTCACAACCAAAGCTCAGCTTGCTAATACATGCTTTATGCGGCTGTGCGCGTTTTAAAGTCGAGCGCTCCTCACTACCAAGCGCGTCTTAAAAACCAAGCGCTCCTCACCACCGTGCGCGTTTTTTATGTCGCGTGATGTTCACTGCCGTGTGCGGTTCTTAATGTCGCGCGTTATTCACTGCCATGCGCATTCGGATGCCGTGCACTCTTCACCGTTGTTTGCCTCTCACTGCCGTGAGCACTTTTAACCAAAATGTAGCTTCCTGCTGTGCGTCTCTTACCGTCGTGCACGACATACTATTGCCTCCTTCGCATGTGTCACCTTCACATGTACGACGCTACAACGGTCGTCTTTTTAGCTGACACGCATTGACAGACGAAAACTGGTCAGCACGGAGTTTCCTTCACACAAGTGAGTGGCGACCCTTCGTTGCCTCAATCGACAGAAGTCGGACGGATTCCCTCTCACTGGAAGTTGTTACCGTCACTGCTTTGACTGCCTGAATTCCCAAAACCTTAGCACGAAGTCACTGTAAACTTCCTGCCTTCACTACGCCTAATGTAGTTGGTTAGATATCTCGATCTCGCCCTCCGAATCAGGATGACTGAGAGGCACGTGTCTCGGGTTTCAGGGAGACTCGGGACTCTGAGATCGCTATCTTAAGAACCTCGTTCGAGAATAAGGGCAGATATTACCAACCGATGAGAGAGGAATTTAAGGTGGGTTCAGGACTTACTCGGGCAGTCTCACGAGGGCGCTCTCTTAATTACAAAGAAAGCCCCCAGTAGTAAAACTTGTTCGGAATTGCCTCCCTTGGCTTGTATTCTCCTATTTCTGTAATCACACACATATGGAAAATGT